CCCGCGCGGCCCACGCCTCGCAGCTGACCTGGTGCGCCGCAAGCTGAGGCCGCACACTCGCGCGACGCGGAAGGCGGGAGGCGGGAGGCGGGAGCAGGAGCAGGGCACACGGGACCCTGGCGGGGCGGGGCCTGACCGTCACGTAGGTGCGCCGCGCAGGCGCCGGGTGGGCGCGGACGGAGGCCTTGGGGACACAGGGGGGGAGGCGGGGGACGCCGGGGGAGGACGCCGCCCGCCCGGGGCTGGGGTAATGGGGTCCGGGCCGGAGCTGCCTTTCTGCGTGGGCGACTCTCCTCCGTCGCTCTCAGGAGAAGGGCTGCCTCCGCGGCGATGGCCTGCGTCTTCGCACCTGACACAGCTTCTGGAACCTGGTGGGCCAAGCGAATGAATGAGTGTCTAAATGAATGAATGCGTTTTGGCGAGGGTCGCGCAGTGTAAATCCATTTTCTTTCACTCATTCCCTCCCTTCCCCCCTTCCCCCACTCATTCTCTCCCTCCGTCCTTCCGTTAAATAAAAATGATAGGAAGCCGTTGTTTTGGACTAAGCAAGCTCCTGCATTTAGACCCCCAAATCAAAATGGAGTCGCCCCTGGTAAGTTCAATGTCACCAAACCTAAACTAAGTTGTGGTCTGACCTTGGGAGAAATCAGGAGAGTGAAAGAGCCAATTTCCCAAACAGGCCAGTTTAAACCTTCAATAGGCAAGATAATGAAGTTCCTTCTGCTTTAATCCTTGCTCAAAAAGGACAGCCTGCAGTAACGTAATGTTAACTAATCAGTCGTTTTTCTATTGTTATGTCTCCCTGTCCCCACCTTACAAGGAAAGTAACTTTTAAATGACCAGTTCACTTCTCGTTCCGTGTTTCTGCTTTCTTCAGCCTTTTCTTCCTATAAACCAACCTCCTCTGCTCGGCTCATTGGAACATGCATTCTATTTTATAGAATGAAGTGTTGCCTGATTCTAGAATCACAATAAGCCAACTGAGATCTTTAAAATTGTTGTAATTTTGTCTTTTGACACCTCCTTTACTCCCTCGTTCCCTCCTTTGCTCACTCATTCCTTCCTTCCTCACTCATTCATTCACACTTCCCTTAAGCCTCTGAAGATCGCACGCCCTCTGCTGGATACTGGGGAGAATAGAGGAACACAGCCAGTGTGAACAGGTGTTAGTTTTCCTGTTTACTGAAATTCTGGAGTAAACCCGATTCCCAGTCTTAAAGCCTGGTCCCAGCCATCCATGACGAGGCTCTTGGCATTCATTTTTCCCTGCCTCATCTCCAAGATAATGCCGTCCTCCAAGGCACATCTGTAATGGCCGCACCCAGAGGTTAAAAGCCACAGAACCTCGTGATAGAAGGAGTAGGGTTGGAGTGTCCCACATTATGGTTTTGAGAGAGGCTGTGGAGGGTGGGGAGAACAGTGGTGGAAGGATGTGATTGGAGATGACTAATGGTTAAAAAAGAAGTTGTAGGGGAATGTAGAAAAGGAAGAAAATAGATGAAAGAGAAACGCTATCCTGGCTGAACCTAGAGAGCTGCCTGAGGGTCCAGATAAGGGCCAGACAGCAGGATCATCTTTAGGGATCCTGCTCTCTAGGGATCTTTAGGTTCCCAATGGGAGTGATCTTCTTTCTAGGGAGGCTTTCTGGAGGAGGCAACCCCCCTCCAGCTGTGTAACAGGACTCTTGGGGAGCAGGAAAAGCATTCCAGGCAGTGGACAGTGTCAGCAAAGGGCATGGAGGTGAAATTCTCATAAAATGAGTGGTTGGGAAGTTGCCAGAATTTTGAGCCTGAAGGGAAAGTTGGAGACCAGACCCTACCCTCTGGAGGCTGGAATTAGCATTTAGGAGGTGATTAGATCATGAGGATGGAACCCTCATGAATGGGATTAGTGCCCTTATGAGGTGTAAGGGAGCTCACCCACCCCTTTCACCAACTGAGGATGCCACAACAGGCACCATCTTTGAGGCCGAGAGTGAGCCCTAAACAGACACCGAATCTGGAGTTCATTGATCTTGGACTTCCCAACCTCCATGAGAAAAAATTTTGTTTGTAAATTATCCAGTCTAAGATATTTCATTACAGCAGCAGAATCAGATTAAGACAGAGACCTTTGGGGCCGGCCCCATGGCTCACTCGGGAGAGTGCGGCACTGGCAGCACTGAGGCTGAGGGTTCGGATCCTATATAGGGATGGCCAGTGAGCTCACTGGCTGAGCGTGGCGCAGACCACACCATGCCAAGGGTTGCGATCCCCTTACCAGTCAAAAAAAAAAAGACAGAGATCTTTGGTGGTGGTTGCAGGAGCCCTTTCCTCAGAGTGGCAGGACCAGCCTGCAGTGACTGAGGTGTGAAAGGAGATGAAGACAGGAAGATTGCAGGGACAGGCGTGGTCTCAGAGACGAAGATAGATGGGACCACAGCTGGAAGGGAGAGACTGAAGGAGTCATCTTCAGGGTGGAAGAAAGGAGCTGATGGGTGGAGAGAAAGTGGAGATGAGTGAGGTGTAGGCAGGCAGAGCAGGGATGGGGGGTGGTCAGGACTCAGGGAGGGGACACTCCCTAGACGTCCCTGAGCTAAAGAGACCATCTCAAAATATACCCCAGATCAGGTCAGTGGCTCACCTGCTGGAAAGTTCTTGAGAAGGGGAGTGGTAGGACAGAAGGAGGCCTCAGAAGCCACAGGGATATTCTGGTATCCTCCCATGGATGTGTTTGCTTCCTAGGGAAACCTCCATTCCCTAAAGGTAGGAACCTCTGCTCCTTCATGGCTGTATCTCCAGCGCCCAGAACAGGATCTGGCACTTGATGGGGTACAGGAAATGCTACCCCAAAATATGGCACCTTGGCATACTGAGTATTTTAATCTGAAGGAAATTGAGAAAACTGCAGAGGCAGAAAGGCCTCTCTGAGGGCTGGCCCATGGCTCACTTGGGAGAACGTGGTGCTGACAACACCAAGTCAAGGGTTAAGATCCCCTTACTGGTCATCTTTTAAAAAAAAAAAGGCTTCTCTGACATCCTCCCACCACCTCTCCTGAAGACTCTGAAGTGACAGGTGTCCTGCCCTGTACCCAGAAGAAAGGAATGTTACACAAAGAGGCCAAGACGAATGTGAACAAACAGGCCTTTCGAAGTTCCCCCAGTTTGTTACTATTAGGTCATACTCCCTTTTTGTCTAATCACACTTCTACACAACTATCTGTTCTTCATCAAACCTAAACATAAAAAGACACAGTTTTCTCTGGGTCTTCAGGCCTTCATTGCTGAAGGCTCCCATGTCATGTGAAACTTTAAAAATTGGTATGCTTTTCTCTTGTTCATCTGTCTTTTGTGATAGGGGTGTCAACTATGAACCTTACCATGGGTAAGGAAAAGACACTACTTTTTCTCCGCTGCAGTTTCTAATGCTCAACCTGGGGTGGCTAAGACATCCCACTTGCTCTGAAACCTGCAGATGAGATCCTGGGACAACTGATAAAAAGCCAACGAAAGGTTAAAATTTCTCCCAATGTCAGCTCTCCTGGATCTCTGTCTGTGGTTCCTGGTCGAGAGTACAGGGTAAAAACTCCTTGTCCCTTCCTAAATTTAGATTAGCAGGAGAAAAATGTGTTAGGATTGTGACTCTTGTTTAAATCTGGTTTGGGGAAACCCATTTGTCATTGATTCTTTCCCTCCCAGGGACAGGTATATCTGTCCTGTTTGTCTTGTTTTGTGTCCTCACAGCTTAACTTTATGACCAATGAGATTCTTCCTAGTTTCTGCCAGCCAGAGTGTGTAACTGTCATCTTCCATCAGGCACACAGTCGAATAGTCTGGGAGCCCCAACATTCTCTTTGACTGTGCCATCTCTCATATGAGTCTGTAATGAGGGGTCCCAGTCCATAAAGGGTTTTTGTCATCTCAACCTTCCTTGCTTGGTTAGCCGCCTGCCCAGTGTCACAGATTAGTGGGTCTGTGACTAGGAGACTAGAAATCTTAACCACCTGTGGTAACAAAGGTCCTTTCTTTCTTTTGATAGTCTTTGCCAAGTGGTTCTGGATCTTGGGAGTACTGCATGTTTGCACCCTCTTTTAAAGATGTCTTCTTTGTCCATGGTTAAGTCATAAAATGCTTATTGCTTTTGGTTCTGAGTCACTTGGTAGATACCTTTGGTTTAAAAAAAAGAAAAGGAGGAAAAGTATTCAATACTGCCAGGAATATTTGCTGTTTGTCCTGACCAAAAATTGATCATTAAGATATTTCAAAGAATTTTTTTCCCTAGAGCTCTATGGTTAGAAGATGGCCTAATCGGGGCGGCCCGGTGGCGCACTGCTACAGTGCGCCGCTTGGTAAGCGCAGCGGCGCTCCCGGCTGCTCATTGGCTGAGCGGGGAGCAGGGGCAGTGCCGAGGGTTGCGATCCCGTTGCAGGTCCCGGTCCGGTGCGGGCGCGACACTGAGGGTTGCGATCCGTTGCCGGTCACGAGAAAAGACAAAAAGACAAAAAAAAAAAAAAAGAAGAAGAAGATGGCCTAATCGGAACCTGATATTCAGGCTATATACACATATATACGTGTTAGAGGCTGGTCAGTGTGGGGAACCAAACCCTCGATCTTGGTGTTGTGAGGCCATGATCTAACCAACTGAGCTAACCAGCCAGCCCTGTGTGTATTTTAAGTCCCCTGCTTTCTCTATGGGATCCTGCTTCTCCTATGGGAACATCTCAGTCGACTGAAATTCCTCTTCTTGAACCCCTACTCTGCCCCCTCTGTCTGCTTCTCTTATTGGCATGATCTTTGCTAAGGATAATGTGGAAATTCATTGGCTTCTTTGGGAAACTTAAGATCTCCACGAGCCGGCTCTTCTAAGGCCATTTGCTTCTGCTCCTCCTTTCTTCTTCTGCCTCCTTTGGTCTTCCATATAGGTTCTTGATTCCTTTAATATTTCTACCTTTAAGCCCTGATGTCCTCCATCCCTCTGTCCACCCCTGCCAGAACTTTGTCCACTTCAACCCTTCAGTCACTTAAACTCTATCCTCCCCCTCTCTCAGGGGCTCAAAGTCCCCCCAAAAGCAACTACCTGAGGCTGAAAAGAGAAAAAAAGTAACTATTTGGAAACTGGACAAATGAAAAATC